CGCCGTTTTGATCGAACTTTGCTATAGGTTATCGAGGGCCCTGAATCCGAATCCGAAGCCCATTTTTTTGGCCGAGATTTCATTGGTCAGAAATCGATCAATCAGAAATGAGCTTTTTCATTTTAAAACTTTTGGTCGTTTTGAGTGAACTTTGCTATAGGTTATCGATGGCCCTGAATCTGAATCCGAAGCCATTTCTTTGGCCGAAGTTTCATTGGTCGGAAACCGGTTAATCAAAAAAGGAACTTTTTTATTTTACGGCTTTTGGCCGTTTTGATCGAACTTTGTTAGAGGTTATCGAGGGTGAGAAATCCGAATCTGGAATCAGGATTCCAAAATTCAGATCTCGAATCTATTCGTTCTATGAGAAGTGATGTTGAGAAACAGCAAGTTCTTTGTAATACGTGACAGTAGTGTAATGAATCAAGAAATACGAAGATAAGATGAAATTAGAGTGCTTGTAGAACAAAGATTGAGGAATGAGAGCGAGTTACGCAAAAAAATTATTTAGATTGACAGGATACAACGGCTGTGTCCACTTATTCAGAATATTTCAGATTATCGGTAAATCTATACTAACGTGTCCTCTTCCTGAATACTGATAAGCTTCCAAAGAAAATTTCTAATGTGGATGAATTTTTTTGTAAAGGATCAAACTTTCCATCAGTTTTTAAAATAGGAACGATGGCTCGATTTTGAAAATGGTATCAACCTTTCGTGAGTGAAAGTAGCTGGAAGTAGTGGATAGCCGTGAATGGCGTTCCTTCGGAAGGACGGCGAACGAATAGCTGCCTCTAAACTAGGTTTATTCAAATCTGTTTTACGACATTTCTGCATAACATCAAGCAAGGTCCTTAAAAGAGTGCCACAGAGACTTAACATGTGACATTTTATGTAGAGAAGGACTCCTATAAACATGGAGAAACTCGAGAGACGACACGTATATATTTAATAGATATCTTGCTGGATATAGGAAATCTAGTACCCTTTAGTTACGAGTAGAGAAGCTTTTGAAGCAGTCGAAATGTGGATTAGTCATGCCTTGAATAAGAAAGTAGTCATTTGAGAATATGTGTTCAAAGATAGTAGTAGCTAAGTGTGAATAGCGCCACGTCGAAACTCCGACAGTGAAATATAGTAGCTTCTATTTCTATTTCACAATTTTTTTGGTATGAGATATGGTCTATTAAGCTAGTTTTTTGTGTGAAATCATATACTTAAGCTTCTTTCGATGGCGAGCTCCATGAAATCTTAGATTGACTAGCTAGGTAAAGGATTGAAACGCATAAGGAATAGTTCACAAGTATTTTCACTTTGGGATTTCTCATGCGATAAATATAGGCAGCTTTGAAACTAATCCAAATCTAGAATCCAGTAAAATTTAAATAACAGTGCA